CTTAAAAACATTTTTCCCAACTCAGGATACCCTCTCCTACCCTCTTGCAATGAAATTGTCTACAAGCCAAGACCCCAAAGCTTTTCTTTTCTGCCTTCATCACCTCGGACCTTTTCCTCCCTCTCAAGCAATTCTGCTCTGAAAATGCCACCTTCTGGGTTAAACACCCACTCCGCTGGTTAGCTGAGGCTGCTTTTCTAACACACAAAGTAGGCAGCTAATAGTTTAGGCAGCTTGAAAAAAAAAGATACAGTCATGCAAGAAGAATACAACAATCCTCCCACTCCGAGTATCAAGGAATTAAAAACAAACATCTCTATACAAACAACTGGGAACTCAAGAAGGCAGTCTTCATGCCAGGCATCCAATACAGAGCACTTATGCTCAGACACAACCCACCTTCCTACTGCTCCTTCACCATCAATGTCCCTAAAACAGAACAGTGGGAGGATCGAAAAATGCACAGCAAGGAAACATTAGCTGCAATTAATTAGGATAATTGAGTACAAGTGAGATATCCACAGCACACCTTTGAATATCAGGTGTCTTAAGACCACCACCTTCAGAAGATGGCTGAGACTTTGACTCCCTGCTTGCAGGCTTTCTGCAGCATCTCTCAGCCACTTGTCAGCAAGATGCTGGGCCAGATGAACTATTGGTATGATCCAGCAAATAAACAGTTAAGTTCCTTCGTACAATAATCCAGGTGGCCTTTTTCCTTTTTTAAAGGAAAAGCACTAAACCTAGTTATCACAGCAGACAGGGCTACCATTGTTGGCTTACTAGGAGAAACCTGGTTTGAGATTTTCATTAAGTCAGGTGGCTTTTTTAAAGGGAAAATACGAAGGCAAGTTATCATAGAAGACAGATCTACCACTGCTGGCTTATTAGGAGTTATCCAACTTGAGATTTTTCTTCCTTGCAAGTCAATCTGGCAAAACAAACTGATGGAATGGGGGAACGTTTGGAGGAAAACAACTCAAAAGACATCCCCCCATGACCCCAAATTGCAACTAGCCAGTTCTGTGGGATTATGACGCTGAGTATCACTGTTACTCTGAATATTAGATGCTTGGGTGGGGAAAGAAATTTCATGGGGTGAGGGAGAAAATCTACTTGTTGTGTGCCTTCAAGTCATTTCCAACATATGGAAAATAGTATCATGCTGCTACAAGCATATAGTGTGAAAGTGTCTTAAGTTGATGAGGACAGCATGAGCGGAAGAACCCTGTTTCACTCAGATCCTCCTTGTGGGTTGCACACTGGGGGCAACTGGTTGGCTCCTGTAGGATCAAAAGGCTAGAATGGATGAGCCCTTAGTTTGACACAGCAGAGGAGATCTGAGGTGCTTTGGGATCCTTCTCTGCTGTTGTGTGCCTTCAGGGTGCATCTACACTACAGAAATAAGGTAGTTTGACACCACTGCAATGGCTGTGGCTTCATCCTGGTATTTGTAGTTTGGTGAGGCACTGGAACTCTTTGGCAGAAAAGACTAAAGAGCTTGTAAAACTAGCCTGGAATCCATAGGATGGAACTACAAAACTTAAAAGTCGTGACAAACTGCATTGTTTCTTCAGTGTAGGTGCACCCTAGCGTTTCTGAGCGACCAAGTATGGCATAGTGGTTTGAGTGTTTGGCATCAAGAGGATGATCTAAACAGGCAGAGATAATAATTGGGTCCTAAAGGAAAAGAGGCACCAGGAGTCTGCTTCTGCTGCTCAAAGTGCCTCATTTTAGAGCCAGAGTGGCGCAATGGTTTGAGTGTTAAGACTATGATTCTGGAGACCAGGGTTCAATTCCCCGCTTGGCCATGAAACCCATGGCATGACCTTGGGCAAGTCACATGCCCTCAGCCTCCGGAAAGACAACAGCAAACCTCCTCTGAACCTCCTTGCCAAGAAAACCCATGGTAGGCTCCCCATAGGGTCGCCATAAGTCAGGAATGACTTGAAGGCACACAACAACAACAGCAAGGCAAAACTATCATGAGGCTTTCTTGGTGAGATTCGTTCCGATGGTGTTGCTACTGCCATTCTCTGAGGCTGAAAGTGTGAGATTTGGCAGCCAAGTTAACCTGGTGGATTTACATGGGTAACCCAGGATTCATAGAACAGAATTATAGAATGAGAGTTGCAAGAGACCACAAGGGCCATCCAGTCCAACCCCATTCTGCCATGCAGGAACTCAAAATCAAACCATCCCTGACAGATGGCCATCCAGCCTCTGCTTAAAGACCTCCAAAGAAGGAGACTCCACCATAATCTCTGAGGGAGTGTGTTCCACTGTCGAACAGCCCTTACTTTCAGGAGGTTCCTCCTAATGTTGAGGTGGAATCTCTTTTCCTGAAGCTTGCACCCATTTTCCAGGTCCTAGTCTCTGGAGCAGCAGAAAACAAGCTTGCTCCCTCCTTAATATGACATCCCTTCAAATATTTAAACAGGAGTGTCATATTGCCTCTTAACCTTCTCCTCTCCAGACTAAACATACCCAGCTCCCTAAGGTGCTCCTTATAAGACACAGTATCCAGACATTTC